AGCACGTTCTTCAGACATTTTTACTAAATATATTTGATCATAGCATTAAGCTGCCAAAACATTGTTAATGACTGCAAGAAAACTGTTCAGCTGAGATACTAATGTGATGATAGAGTTTGAAGAAGTCGGTGTGAGGCTGGAGAAGAAGATCTAAAGTGTGCAGTTATTAAGCTAGAAGGAGTTATGTCACTTACATTTAAATTGTATTTAATAATCTGAAAATTAACCGGAGAGGTATAACATTGTTATGAAAATGCCTAATGGACATAGCATTTAAATATACAGTATCCCCTTTCTAAAAGAGGATTCATTTCTTTAAAGTTCAAAACTAGTTTTATTTCTGGAAAATTTCATATATTGCACTTTAATGTTTTGACCTCTATTATGTACATGTGTCAGAGACCTTTTGCTCCCCACTGCCTGCCATGTAGCCGTCACACGTGTGATTTCGTGCTGTCCTGACCCTGGGAGGGAGGAACTTGACTTCCGCTTCACAGCCTGGGAATGACTGACAGTCAGGGAGATCACGTGGCTTGTGCAGCGGAGATGGGATTTCAGATGGAGTCTTAGGATGAACTGTCCCCGGGTTTTAAAATGTTAAGAGGAGGAGACATTAGTGCCCCTTCACATAGACGGATCTATGTTCAACTCCTGCAAGCTTCCTCTATTTCCTGGGAATAGAACTCGATAGCAAACGCTCTTCAGAACCAGAGAGCCGAATGAGCACCACCATCAGTAAAATTTCATGTTAAATGTACTTTGTAATATGACCTTTCATGAGCTGCGTTGAGAATAGATCACGATAGATTCCTGATACCCCCCAAATCTTTTCTTTCTAAAATAGAGATGTGAGCATTTAATAATAGATATTAACATTTCATCTGTATTCCTAAGATCTTGTTCTCCATCGATTATTTAATCATCAGTTCACTGAAATATTAGTTGTATTGGTCTTGATGGAACACCCTTTCATTAAATACTAAATACTTTGCAAATAATGATTACTGGCTAAATTATATTATATTAAATATAATATGGCCTTATTGTAAAAATGTTGTAGTTTTAGTGTGTAAGAGATTTAGGAAAGGATGTTGAGAAAAGAAGTTGAATTCTCTCAGAAAGTAACGCAGTGCCGGTACATGTGAGGGGGAAGCAGGCTCTGGCCCCCTGGCGCTCTGTGATGATGTGGGGGTGCAGCGTGTGCGGTCCTTGGTGGGAGGCGCAGGCCGGGAGTAGAGAAGCTGCCGGGCTCTGAAGGCCAGCAGGTTCGGGGAGCCCGCGGCCCAGTGCGGCCTCAGGGACAGAGGGCCTTCTCAGTTCCTGTTTCTGGATCTTTCTGCCATCCATTTAGAGAGAAGTGAAGTGTCTTCTCCAATAACTGGCTTATTGTTGTCAGAGTTGTTTGCTTTCTTGCTCTGCCATGTCATTTGCTGCAGCCCTTTGCGGCGCCTGAGGCCGGGGGGCCTGGCTGGGCATTACTGAGTGGCGTGTCCCCGGGGAAGCAGACCGGGCTCAGCGTTGTCACCTCTCTTCAGCTGCACTGCTGAGGGGATGCGCTCAGGGAGTCACAAATGATGGGGTAACCATGGCACAACAGAGCAAATCACCAGCAGAAAACAAAAGTGTGAACAAGATGAGAAAGATGCTTTTATCCTGGAACAGCCAGAAACCCATTAAATGAAATAAATTACAGGCTGCCAGGGTGATGATTCACTGTCCTGGTGAAATAAGCAATATTTTGGAGTGAAGGAAAATATAGCACAGTATGACACAGAGAGGCTCAAAACAAGGAAAAATCTTTTCCTTCTGGCTAGAGTGTGTGTATTCACATTGGAAGACAGAGACTTCCAATAACCATCAGTAAAGTGTGTATTAAAATGTGCTTTAAAATATTGTTACTTAGCATCTCCTCTTCTGGAGTATATTGATAAGCAGCAAAACCCCAGTGAGAGGAATTCCTTATCAGCTATTGTCACATCCTGTACTTATTTTAAGATATTAAAGTTAAATTTCAGTTTGTTTATGGCAATGGCTTTGTACTTCAGTTATGGAATGGTCCATTCAGTCCCTCATTTATTCAATAACATGTATCAAGCCACTTCTATGTGGCCGGCATTAGAGAGGCATCAAGGGACAAGAGACGTGCTCCCCAGCCCAACAGGACTGTGGCCTAGTAGGATAATAAGTTGACACTTATCAAATGCTTTCAGAGTAAACATTTAGCAAGCACGGTCTGATGCAACTCCCATAACAGTCCTATGAAATAGGCATTCTTTCCGTATTTTACACATGAGGAAAACTAGGGTAAGAGGTTGAGTAACTCAGCCCAAGTTGCCAGCTGAAGAATGAATGGGGTGGGGTGGGCCTAATGCGGACACGATCCAGCTGACTTCCTCTGTTCTCGTTGAATTCACCTTGATTCTCATAAACCGTGGTGGTTATCCCAGAAGGAAATGTTACATAGCCTCCTAGACCTAGAAAGCTTTTTAATTTCTCTGAAGATATTTGCTCTGTGCAGACACATCTTGCCTGCTTGTCGGCCTGCCCTCTGTCTTTCCCAGATTACCTGTGAAGCTAAGGAGGTAAACAGACCCAAATCTCACGGCCATACTCCACCACAGTTAAAAATCTGCAGGGAACGCTCACAAGAATTGTTCTTCATTCTTTGCCTCTGTTTACTTGATTTCTTTTTTCCTTCCATCTGCTCAGTGCAGAAACATCTTTTGCTCTTAAAATGGAATATTTGTGAGAATTACTTAGTGTTCTCAAGCTATAACAGTTTATAAATAGGAAAATTAGAGTGATGTGAAATCCAGTAGTTACTCCCACATTAAACTGAAAATGCTTATAATCTGCACAGTGTTTACACATGTATCACTAAGTTAATCCTTACAAAAGGAATTGTTTGATTGACACGACAGTTTTGGCATAGTTTGCTCTTTCTACCGAATTCATCCTGATTACTGTGAATAACTCATGAGAGGAATTAGAAGCCAAAAGCCAAGATATCCTCACTGCATTTTTTGAGACAAGCTTTAGAAGATACGAACAATGTGTAGAAATTTTAATAACTTTTTCTATATTCAGATACTAATGATACCATATATCACCAAAATACAAAGGTAAAAGTCCTTCTGCAGATCATTTAATTGATTTCTCTGCCTCCAGAAGGAATTTTACTTCATTCATCATAAATTAATTTTGGCTTTTAAAAATTAACTGTTGAATATTTTTCCTAACTGCAGACACACCTTAGGTATTTCCTGTTGCTTATCGGACCCATTTCTGCAATGTTTTTCTAAGAACTCAAACTTCTTCTTAGGAATCAATGATTTTGCACTGGGGAATAATCTCTAAACCAAACAGGAAAAATTGGTTTATCCTGGCCTCCATAGTATTACTAAATATTTCTACTCGCCTCTGCAGATGCTAGGATTCTGGCAAATTGGGGGTAAATATGGTCTTTAAATCCACAATAATTAACAAAAAATTCCACATTTTTCTTTCACCTATCATTACAATGCAAGAAATCAGGGCCATTTTGTTTTTGCTGTTTAAGCAATTGTTTAAATATGTTATATATTGAACATTTCACATTAGGTGTCTTCCTTTTAGAACTGCTCTCCTTCTCTATCTTAATTTATATTTTGCCTCCAACTCTATGTCATGAGACTTTTCCGTGTTATTATATATTCTTTGAATGCATGGTTTAATGCCTTTCAAAGTTGAAACTTCTATTTGGTCCCAATTGAAGGCGTTTCTTTTTAATGCCCTGGGACATGTTGCTCTCAAGACATTACGTAAGAAGTGGTTGGGTTCTGAAGTCACCAAATGACTCATATTTTACAGCACGATACTGCACCCTAGTGCCCTGCCGACTGTAGTCAGGCCGATTCTCATCACGGTGCCTTTTACAATATAATCAAAATTGCATTTTGGTTAAAATGGTTATTTTCAAGTTTAATCGCATATAGGTCCAAACAGCTATTCCACTGCATTGACTCGTGTACACGTCTGTGTTCCCATTGACCTGCACACTTCTTAAGGGCAAGCAAACGGTGTCTTTCTTCTTGATTCTCTCACCTGTATGCTTGGCCACAGAGGTAGATCTACCACGAAGATCATGGTGAGGGTGGAGAGTAAATCGCGGGGCAGTTCCCTCACCTGAAGTCATCCCCAGGCAAAGGCTCACCCGTATGATCACATGGCCATACTTTTTGGAAAAATTTATAAAAACAAGATATTTTTATTGGACTACTGCATAGTTTTGTGGCTTAGTTTACATTAGTAATTATGTCTTCTTGTCCTTAAAGATGGATGTCCAGCTTTTAAAGACCTGGCCCCACAAAACCCAGATTTTTCCCTTGCTGCTGTGTAAGGAGCAATTAATTACTTACTTTTTGTTGAATGATTAGATGAAAGAAGTGAAGGAGAAGAGGGATGAATATATTATTAGTATATTTTAACATTTAAAAATTAGCATTTCTGGCAAAAATTTTCCATAAACCACCAACAGATAATGCTAACACATCACCCTTGCATAATGTTTGTGAGTTTACAAAGCTCTTACACATGCATATCTTTAATTGAATCTTTTACCAGCCCTTCAGTTAAATGTGGTCTTCACTTAAAATGATCAAATGGAAATGTTTACAACTGTGTTCTTTGTAGAAAATGTATTATTATACTCAATTGTTAGACTTAAAAGCTAAAGCACACCAACTGAGTAACTCGTTCACATTCGTAACAGCATCAGTCCTCGGAGGCAGCTGATGGCCCTCGGAGGGCAGATGTGGCACCTCATACAACATGGCGTTTACGGAAGTGTTTAAATAAACTAAAACTTATTCTACAGACAAGAAACTTAAAATAAAACAGGATTGTTGATGTTGACCACAAATGATGAGCACTTGCCCTTCCTTCTTTCCTTTTCCTGTGCTTCTTGCCTTTTCTGGTCTTTTTTCTTTTCTTTCTTTTCATCTCTTCTTTTCCTGATGTAGGTGTTTAACATTAACTGCTATAAAGCTAAAGCTTTTTTTGGAAATTTGAACCTAACCTGTACTGCACACAAGATGAAAATGTGGTTGCCGGTCAGTCACCTTGTGATAATATCTTTTACAACCTGTCTGTCAGGTAAGAAACACCCTTTGCATATTCTCCATGAATTATGTCAATGTAATCAACATGTATGTTCACTTTATTAAATATATTAGAATGAAGTTAGAATGAATACTTTATTTTGACACCTGGGTCAGATAAGTAAATTAATAAATATTAAAGTTAACCCTATTTTCTTTTTCTTTTTACTTTCAATTAAAATTTCATGAGATTTACTCAATCTGAAGTAATTGTGTGCTGGTAAAGTTTAAAATCTTGATCTTTGGGGGAAAAAAATCCCTGCTGTGTAACATTTGTAAATTCCTGGGGAGTAAATGTTACTGCTATGGCCAATCTTGACAAATTTAAATCATTTAATGTGCTGTTGCAAAAGTACATAACAACTCACCATTATATAGTATTTTCACCATATAGATACACAAGGCTTAAGTGACCTCAATGGCATAAATGAAAGTAAAATGTAGTAAAATAATTAGAAAGTAATGGGTTTTAAACATTTGTTTCCTTTTTTCTTTCTATATTACTTAATATAATTTAATTTTTCTTACTAGCTAGTCAGTCTTATGAAAAACATTTTTAAAGCAATCTGCAATATGCATAAGGACATTATAATGACAAAGCAGTTTTGAAACCGCTCAAGTTTCAGGACAGATACTGTATCTCTCTCTTTCAAAGACAAATATGAAGTATCCAGAAATACTTCTTACAAGGAGAGCTGCGTTGTGTTTTTATCTGAAAGCAGCGTGTTTTCTAACCATCAAATTTTTGTAATACTTTAAACTCAATTACCTTAACCCAGTAAGTACTTGCTGAATTGCTATTAAGTTCCAGACATAGAGGGATCTCATTCCTTCATCTGTCAATCACCATTGATTCTTTAGTGATGAACTTGATGGACATCTTGTTATTACTAAGGAAATAAAAATGCTGTTTTATTTTGAGGAGTAATTTTTATTATGATGACTTCAGAATCCCCCCAAAATTTATCAGTACTTAATAATTTTAATAACATTTATATGACCATAGTAATTATACATACACATAATTGCATACATGTTTATACATATACTGTGCAAATATAATAAACTTTTTTATGGTAGGTTATCATGGCTGTCTTGGTTTTATGAATAAGATAAACAATAATCTTATTAGTACTGAAAATTCATGCTACTTCTATTGACCACAAGTGTTAGTGCTATAGCTATAATATGCAAAGATAAGAAATAAATATCTGCAGAAATGGGTTTTGTCAACCTTAATAATAAAGGACTAGGGTTCTAATTTCATGAACTAGTAGCTCAGGTACTTGAGTAATGTCTTCAAACCACAACTTGAATTGCTGTTTTGGAATTAAAATGGTTTCTTCTTTCATTTTTAGAGTTCACCTGGCACAGAAGGTATGGCCATGGAGGTAGGTTGATGAAAGACACAATTTAAAAGTAGCTTTTCTCAAATGACTCATAGTTTGTCTCTGCTTTAGATTATTAACTCTCTAAACTTAAAGGCAAGTGGTTAATGTTAGATCACTTGGAAATTTTGTAAGATGATTTATGTGGGGTCAAAAGACAAATTGTTTGATTGCCAACATGAATGAACGAATACAGCACAAATATCCTGTTAGAAGATTGTAGCAGGTGGAAAACATTCCATGTGGCTTGTGATTTTTCTTGCATGCTCTGTAACAATCCTATGCCCGTAAATTTTAAAGCAGTATTTTAAATAATATAAACACCTAACTAATTTTTGGAAGCTTCTTATCTTTTGGTGAGAAAGAAGACTAGACTGTGGAACCTGGAAATTCTGTTTATTTAAGAGTCCAAAGATGTTGCAAATGTTATTGTTTGTGTGTTACTGAATGTAAGTGATTCTGCTTAGTTGTTGAAGTAGAATAGTTTTTGCCAGAAAGAGAGGCAGCTTGGTACACTGGAAAAAATAGAGTCTAATGTGAGACCCACCTGGATTCGCATGTTCAGTCTGGTTTTTGCAGGCCGTGTGATCTTGTGAAAATTATGCAACTTCTATGAGCCTCGACTTACCAATACGTAAAAATCACGGTGTTCTTATGAAGACTGAAGGAAGATGTGATGATAGCTTCTAGTACAGTGACTGACATAGCCGATGCTCGATGAACATAGTAAGACTGGAAAAAGTTACGAAAGCCACTGCATAGCGGTAGGAGAAGGAAGAACTGGGAAGAATTGCTGAGCATCCAGTGCCAGCTTGCGTGCCAAGCCAAGGATATTCGTGCTGGAGCCTGTCAGAGCTTCTGCTTGTAGGTGGCTGTGAGGACTCGGGGAAAGGAAAACCTTAGCCTGAATTCCACCAAAGCCATTTCTCTTTCTATCTTGTGAGTCAGGAATCTCTACATGTACGCCATGTAAAATCATTAAGATTTTGACCTCAAGAACCTTACCATATACCCGGGAATGAGATAAGTAGGTAACAAATATATAAGAACAATATAATGTGCACTTTAAAAGATTCACTATGAAGAATTAAGGAATGGCCAGTGATGAGGGTAGGTGGTAAGAGAAGGGAGCCTTGAAGTATTTCAGTGTTAGCAATGGAGCTAATTCTAAGTAGAGGGTGTGAAAGAAATGGAAGTGCAGAGATAGGGGAATACAGGCTGTGTAAGGTCAGTATTAATCCAAGTATCTCGAAGAACAACTTGTTCTGCAAGATGTTTGTAGGAATTATTTTAAAAAGGACTTCGTTGTCAAATAAATTGGGACAGCCTAGTTCACTGAAGTTCAGCAGTTTATTATGAGCTTTAATAACAACAGAAACGCTGTCTCACAGTTCTGGAGGCTAGAAGTCCATGACCAAAGTGCTGTCAAGGCCATGCGCCCTCTGAAGCCTGCAGAAGGCTCCCTCTTGCCTCTTCTGGCGGCACCAGACATCCCTGGGCTTGTGGTAGCATAAGTCTTACCATCTGCCTCCATGTCCACGTGGCCTTATCCCTATGTCCCTTCACGTGATCTCCCTCTGTGCATGCCAGTCCCTGTGTCCAAATTTACCCCGTTTAAGGAGAGATTTTTAACTTGATTACTGCTATAAAGACCTTGTTCCTAAATATGGTCCCATTCTGATGTGCCAGGGGTCAGGAGTTTGACCCATCTTTCTGTGGGGGCACAATTCAACCCATAACATTACCCTAAATAAAAAGTACCATGAATTCCTGAGGAGGAAAGAGATACAAAATATCCACATGCTCCCAAGTTCATTTGATCATCCAGCTAATAGGCATTAAGGAAAAACAAAACACCACCACCTTCTCTATGCTGACTGGTCACAATTTAAATCCGTAACTACTCATTTCAAGCTGACAGCTGGTACTGCCCAGCAGACACACTCAGTCTCCCCAGTGAATTCATTTTCTCACTGTCCCTAGGACATGTCATAGTTGCTTCTTGCCCATCCTGACTTGCTGCTGATGACTCTGCTCCCTATTGCACGGAGACGTCGGAGGCAATCAGAGGAGACGTCCACAAACTCATCCTACCGCCTTTACCCTCCTCCTACATCTGTGCTCAGATACTCTGTCTTCCTGCTCATGTCACGGGTGATCTTAGGTGCCAAGCCCTGCCCGTGCACCCTGGGTCCTAATCCCATACGGTCCGTTTAAGTTCATCGCTCCAGAAATTGTCCCTGTGTTTCCTCATCGCCTGCTTCTCGCTCTCGGCTCGATCATCGCTGTCAGTGGACAGACACTCGGTAGTGATTTCTCTCATTTAAAAAGATCGTCCCTTTGCTGACCTCACACCCTGTAGCTAGGCTCCCTTACTGTTCTTTTCAGAGCTATTCCTTCGCACCCACACACAGAAGCATGCTTGCTCTCTTTAATTCTCCAACCCATCATTTCTTTTGAACCTACTATGGAAAGACTTTCACAGCACCGTTTGGCCAGCACTACTGTGTCCATGGCACCGGTGTACACACGTTAACTCGTTGGTCAGCTTTGACCTGCTGGACGCAGAGGTATTCCATATAGCCTGACATCATCTACAGGTGAAGAGGGTTTTTTTTTTTCTTTGTATCTTTGGGTTTTTTAAAAACAAGAAGACCTTTCCCAGATATCTTTCAGTAGATCTCCGAACACCTCAATGTCCAGAGCCGGTAACACGTTTACCACCAGTCCTCTCATAGGAGGGAGTGATACAATGGCATTGATCCTAGACAGTCTACACTGCAGAGTCCTGGGGTGGCGGGCTTGATCCTCTAGCGAATCTGAGCTTGGTCGTCAGTGTAGGAAGGGGGCGCAGGCACTGGTCAGGCAGCTAGCAATGTCTGCTACATTGCTTAGGTGAGCTGAAATTGAGATTTTTCCCCCCTCACTTGTAAATGAAAGAGTTCTCTTCAGTATGTCATCTTGCATGTGCAAAACTCTCTTAGCTATTACCTTACATCGCTCTTCATAGCCTATGTGACTAGCTTTTTAAATGAAATATATGCTTGATGTAAATGTTCAGATATTTAATTAATAATTAAATATTGGAGAGTAAATATCTGTTTAGAGGCTTTTCTCAATCAAGGTCTGCTTTTACCTTACTTTCATTAAAAAAGAATGTAGCTATTTCAGGTCCAATGTTCACCTAGGCTAATCTAAAACAAAAATAATTCTCTCTTTACTTCCTTTGTTATTCAGTGAGAAAAACCTATAAAGAAATAAAATAGCAAGAAAGTCCAGTGCTGATCGGTAGTTTTCTGTTTAAATACACATAGAATTGCATCGGACATTCATTTCTTCTTTAATCTTATGCTCTTGTCCATTGGTAATAATACTAATGGCATAATCATGCTTGTCCTATAAATACAGTGTATTTAGAAGATATTTATGAGCTTTAAACTCCTCTAAGTAGTATTTATTTTTGCTAAATATTTAGTCTATTTAAATTTTTAAAAACTGCTTGAGAATTTCACTCTAAAATCATTACTCATCGGGGGTAGAGTTGACATAGAAGTGATCCTGCCTTGAAGAAGAGAATATAAATATATTGGTCAAATTACCCTTTTCTGCTGGTCTTCTTCAGCATTTTCATGTGAATTGGGAAGAAACAGCAGTCTCTGAATCAGCAGGTGTTTCTAAATCACTTCAGTCAGAAAAGCTGTGCAAATGGGAACGACTCACCAAGAGCTGATGAATTTCTCCATGTGGGAAGAAAAACAGCATATGATTTTTATCATCGATAAACACACGGCCATTTATTTCAGAGATGGAGAATCTTGACTCCACATCCAAGCAAATGTCTCTAGTAGCTGTCAGGGATTTGGGATCCATTCCTCACTTTCTCTGGTGTCCTGTTACATCCTGTAAGGCCAATAAATATTTGGCATCATCAGGAGAATTATTAAAAGTGAAGCAGAGAACGTCACGTGCATTTGCAGTTTTACAACCTCAAGAAGTGTATGTGGGTCTAGACACAGCTCAGAGTAGAACTTTCAAATTCGTTAGCAGAGGCTTCTGTGAACCCCTCACACCCGAGATGGTACCTGTGGTTGCAGTAGACCCAGGGGGCCCAGGGCACACACTCCTTTCCTTTCTTTTTTAAATATAGATACAATCATCACCATGTAGAACAAATGGCAGCGTGAAACAACAGCTAGAAAAGTGCATTTCTGGGGCTAAATCTCAGTTCCTCTGAGAAGAGTGAATAAAACTTGGCCTCTGGCTTTTAGAAGCTTTAGGAGTTGATGTACATATATGAATATACATATGTATGTTGTCTATGTGTATGTTTATACATATACAAAAGATAAGGTAGATGCATAATACAATAATAAAAATTAAATTTTGAAAGGATTGGCAAATTTAGGATAATGTTGGAAAAACCAGGATTTACTGATTTTTCAAGCCAAGTACACGAGTGTCTTATGTGCATTGTCTGAAAATAATTCTTGAACTATCTAATGAGGTGGGCTTTATTATTATCCCTGTTTTATAAGGGGTGATAGTGAGGCTTGGAGAGTTTAAATAATTTTTCCAAAGGCTCTGTGAACAGTAGTGAGGCAAGGTTTAAATGACGTCATGAAATTAATCATAAAGGGAAGCTGAAGCAAAGCTCTCACCTTCAGGGCTGACGTCGGAGCAGACACAGCGCCTGCATGACATGGCCTTAAACTCTCTTTTAACAAGTAAATTGGGCGAGTGAACCATAGCCTTGATCTAGGAGAGACAGTCTAATGATCCCATGTAAGAACATTCCACTTTTCTAGCCACACATCTCAGCGTTTATTCCGTCAGGCACACGGCTGTTTTCTGTGCTCTGTGAATGGCACACCTTGATGCCATGTGACTGATTCTCACCTCCTGCTGTCAGGTGTCACTCTTCCCTTCCAGAGAGGATAGCTGCCGTGAACAGCTGCTTCCCACTGTGGGTATGTTTGTGATGGACTTTAAACCAGCTGCTCAGAGCTCTTATCCACACGCTTCGTTTATTAGACTGTTCTGTGTTGCTGAGTACCGATGTCGGTTGCATGTTTAGAAAAATAAAATAGACAAGAACCAGTTCAGGAAAGAGACCAATTTCCCCAGAAAAATGTAGGAATTCATCCATTCTCTTGTTCAGCAATCATTAAGCACCTCTTGTGTTCCAGAGTGCTAGACAGCCAGCTAGGAGGGTGGTGTGCAGAGATTAGGGACGTAGCCACCTTTCCCCAAGCATTTGCAGTGTCATGGAGCAGAGAATTGCCATCAGGAGTCACCCCATGCGAGTAAGTCGCATAAGCTGTAGAGGAAGTTATGCGCACAAAGGAGGACCATCTGAAGCTAAGAGGTGAGAAGTGGCTTCCCAAGGGACTGACTCTGGTGAAGTCATGAAAGACCAAACAGATTTTGATAGGAGGAGAAAAGCGATCTGGTGACAACGGAAGGAGGAAAACCGTGTGCAGAGGCTCGAGGCGTGAAAGCGTGGCTTGTCTGAGGAAATGCAAGTCAGTGAACAGGCCGGGTGCTTCAGGAAGAATAATAAGAGACAGGCAGGAAAGAAATTTGTGTTAAGAACCTGAATATCGTGCTCAGAATTATAGGGACACGTATCTTTTTTTTGAATGAAAATGGAGATTCTGTGTTTCTGACATATCTTTGAGAACTTTTTTTTATAATGTATCCAGATTTTTTCACTTATAAAGCAGCACTATATTAAAAATTTTATTTTTCTTGTAGTTTCAGAGGAAGATAAAGGATTTGGACCGATCTTTGAAGAGCAGCCGATTAATACCATTTACCCAGAGGAATCGCCTGAAGGGAAAGTGTCGCTGAACTGCAGGGCCCGAGGCAGCCCTCTCCCAGCTCACAAGTAATGTACCGCCTGCTCTGCACAGAGTGGGTTGCCGGTCACAGGCTGCGGATCTGCGTCTACGGCCCTTTACTGATAGAGAGAGCTGTAACATGAGGCTTCCTACCGAGTCCAGGGACATTGACAAACATATTGGCATTTCAGTTATTAAACTAAAATGTCCAAATAGAAAGCAAGTTCCCTTAAATATGTGCAAGAATTAACATTATTTCCTACACAGGTAATGCCAGTGCCATTCGATGTTTTCTACTTAAAAACCATCCAGTCTAAGTCATGCTACTAAGCATGAAAATCATGCACGATATAAATGCACACATTTGAGGATAAAATGTCCTTGTATGCTTTGACCCGATAACTCACACCTGCACACGATGGATGATATTTCTGTATTAAACACATTTAAAGAGCTTGCATAGAGAATTCTAGAAAGCACCACTCTTTTCATTGGTTTCGAATCTGTGTTTCAGACAATACAGCAGATTTCTTAAATGTCTCTACCTATTGGACCATCTATATAAACATATCTTTCTGTTTTTTTATTCATGTTTTCTAAGATAACTTTATAAAAAGTAATGGGTTTTCCTACTTCAGATGGTTCAGAAAAGTATGCTAGCAGTTTCTGTTGCAAACAATGAGAATCAGAAATTAACCAAATGCTAATGGATTTGAATTTTACCTGTGAAATGGTTCTGTGAAGACCAAACAAGTGATTGATGAGAAAATTGGGGCTTGAGCATGTTCATGTCAGCTGATGTAATTGAAGGTTGTCATTCAACAAAGCTGATTTTAAAAGTATTGTTTTTCCTAGATGGAAAAATAACTTTCTATTGTTACAAAAAGTTGTTATCACAAAGAATACCCCTTTCCCATTAATTCCAATTGAACTCATTTTTCATTTTCTCTTGCCTCTGGCTGTAATTATAAAATCACTCATAAAATAAAATATAAATTTAGATGAATTTAGGTACAAAAACATCATCCCTTTGAAATTTTTTTTTATTGTTTCAATTTCATGCGTGGGATTGCAATATGAGTAGGTATTTTATAAATTATAAATAATACATTTGTTCTGAAAATATTTGATGCATCAGACTTATTTCTACCCTTAAGCCATACATAGCAGCAGTTTATGTACCTTGTTACAGACACGATAGTATGACTCACAGGGACTGTAGAGGAGACTAATCCAAACATGTGATTTGGCAGAGAGGAAACCGGGTCCTGAATAAGTAAATTGCTCCAGAGCTAGTGAATCACAGATCCAGGACTGAAACGCAGGTTTCATGACTTTCAATGAAACATACACTTTTTTTCTGTGCGTATCTACCTACATAGGTTAATAGCATTTCAGAAGCTATTTGGTGACTTACACTGTGCACTCTGCCCTTGATGTACGTACACGGAACCTTAGCAAATGGGCCTCCAGGCTGGCATGGAGCTGACAAAACAAGAGATTGTTCTCAGGTAGTGTCGTCTCCTTGTCACCTCCCCTCCCCCAGAGGCAGTAAGGAGCAAAGGTTTGCGTAACTGAGATTCTGCACGAGCGCCTCCCTTCCTCCCTCCCTTCCAGTCCTTGGCGGTGGTCACCAGTTTCTTCTTTGTCTCTGTGTGTTTGACAATTTGGGAAACCTCATGTGAGGAGATACCCTGCAAAGTATTCTTACCAAAATTAGACAAGTAAAAACAGAAGCAACACTTGTCTTGGCAAATGCATCACCACCTTCCTCCCATAGGTTGTAGGAGCCCCAAAGCCCCCAGGGGGAGTGTGGTCTGACTGTGCACATGTGCATGTGGAGAGCTGAGGGCGGTCATAGATGTTTAATTCTCTGATGAAAGCAGTCTGTTTGACAGCAAAAAAAAAAAAAAAAAAGGAGAAAAAATTCAGCTCATGACACAGCTTATCTGATGGAAAAGAACATCTGAAGTTTTAAAATGTATTTACTGTGCAGAGCAAGCCATACTAACCTTGGTAATCATGCAGTTTGTCACTCACAGTAGTTTTATATTTATGGCATGGTCTCCGATAATGTCTTATTCATGGCAACACCCTGGAAGGTACAACAGGGAATTTTACCTTCTGCTCACCTGCCTTGAGGCTTTCAGCATCTTGCTTTGACCCCCAACATAAAAAGAACTCCGGTAAAATCATTGTGTGAAAAAGGATTAAGACGATGGTGTGTGTTCCTGAAAATAAGATAGACCAGTGAACTTACCTAAACACAGCAAAACCTAATCATTATGACATCAGAGGCAGAATCAGATCCACTGAGGGAAGTGAAGCCAATAAATAACAATTTGGAGTCAATATAACAGGAAAAAGCAGGTAACGATTAGAATTGCTCAACAAGGAAACCTATTGCCTTGGCAAGTGGTGAGCCACTTCCTTAACAGGGGGTGGTTCACACAGGGAAATGCTGCCCGCAGTGGGGGAGAGGGGATTTATTCATTGGGTTGGAATCTGGTAGGTTTTCAAAATGCAAAAGCAGTTTTCTATGTTTGCTTTTAAATCACCTCCTACATTGTAAAAATTAAAACAAAATATTACAGTAATTTGACTTTATAAAATATATTCTAAAATCAGTAGGGCTTTTTGGCAAGATTCTGACCCTAGTTAGAAATGTGCCAGGCAATGAGCCGTGCGTCGGAGCCCGCTGTTTGACCACAGCTCTTGTCTATGACACTGCTGAAGACGTGAGGCCCTAGGGTTAAACCCTGGTACGGGATGATGATGAATTTAAGCAGGTAACTGGCTTAATTGGAAACTATTGTCTTTTTATCATGGCATCAAGAAAGTTAGATTCCTGTTTCTAGTCAATGTATTTTTAACACAGTATTTATAAATATACCTGTAATAGTGTACTTGTGTTTTGGAAGCAAAAGACCAAATGACTTTTATCATTTTCAAATTGTGTGATCGACCTCTAGTGGTCAGAATGTGACATTTATTGAGTAGAACCCTGATTTCAATTAATTTGTTTTATTGAAAAATGACTTGGATGCTTAGAATCAGATATTACTATTTTACATTTTGTTTCTGCCAGAGCAATGCCTTTAGATATCGCATACAACAGATGAGGATATACATGAAACTAGTGCATGGAAACTTGTCATTTATAATCCACCTGTATCTGCTAAGAAACCAATTTATGTAACGAAATTCAATGAAATGTTAGTCTTTTGGGATGCCTCACGAAAAATGGAAATATTTTATGCATTTGAACATTCACCTTTCTGTGCCAGAGCTAAATTGTAATTCATGAGCCCAAAGACGTGGAATTACAGGAGAGAGAGAAATACTTCTCTGAGTCATCTACTTAATCGTCTGACCTCACATGGAGCGCTACTCATATTACTTTAGAATGATAGCCTCGTACACTGCTTGTAGACTGCCTGACCTTTGATGTGACATTTATTTCTTTTTTCTCCCAGGTGGAGAATGAATAATGGTGATATTGATCTGACCAGTGATCGGTACAGTATGGTAGGAGGAAACCTTGTTATCAACAACCCTGACAAGCAGAAAGACGCTGGAGTCTACTACTGTTTAGCATCCAATAACTACGGGATGGTCAGAAGCACCGAAGCCACCCTGAGTTTTGGATGTAAGTAATCGTAACTTTGAAAAGGGTAAGTGTAGTAGGTGAAGCAGAAATTAGATGCTGGCATTTAAAAGTTCAGTAAGAAGAGAAGTCAGGGTGAAGAGGGAATGAGAGTAAGAGCCCGCAGGTGAGGAGGGCCTTACTGGTGTGGAGGAAAATGTCAAGAGAGCAAAGCATCCTGGAAGGTATTGGACAATAAACGAAGGCCGTGTGCTGAAGGATCTTGAAGACTTTCTAAAAACTAGCCTCAGTGGAAGTGCTGAGCCATGCGTTTGCCGTGGGGTGGTATGACCCACAAGGGTGTGAAAATTGATCTTGCAGAGAAAAACCATCTTAATTCCTGTCTCTCCAAAGCTCAACTTTACCTAAGAAAACCTAATCCCTTAGTTCTTCATTTCTCTGATTAAGAATAAATTGAGCTAAATTAAGTTTGAAAAATTTCTCCTAATAGGGGCAATAATGAAAAATATTGGAGAAATACAATGGTAGACTAAAAAGTTAGAGGTTGTTCTGGAAGAAAATCATTCGCTGGGAGAGGGGTTGAACTAGATCTTCAGGGGGCGATGTTTTAAGACAGCACTGGAGTCTTTCGCACGATGGGTTACAGGGTGACAGGGGTGCTCTGCGAGGCCTCGTGTCGCGCTGATTTCCAGGAGGAGGCGAGACAGTGTAGGAGAGCCGTCCCGTTAAGTTTGGGTGATGACAGGGGGAATGTACATAATACAATCTTTGAAGAAATCATCGAGACTGCATTGCGCCCAAGAGAAAAAGACTCGAAATATTTAAGAAAAGTTTAGTCAAAGGGCAGAAACATTCTGCTCTGTTTACAAATAGATGGGTGCAAGGAGAGCCATCCTGAAGAATGAGAGGGAGCATCTTAACGGCTGCTTCACAGGCAGCGACTGTGGCGACATTACGTTACCCATGTGGAAATCTAGGTATCCGAGGATGGGGGTGAGGCCCAGGACTAGGATGCAGATTTGAGGGATTCCCTGCAAAAAGGTAACGATTAGAACGATGACTTCTCAGAGAGAGAAATATGTTGAGAGAAGTAGATTCTGTAATTTGAGTGCTGGTCTCAGAGAAGGAACCGGAGATGAGGCAGGACTGAAATGGAAGGAGCACCAGTAAAATAAAGGGAGATTCAGATGATGGGGTTTCAGAATGTGATTTCCAAATACACGGAGAGGGAAGGGGGTGAGGGCCAAGGAGCACCAGGGTCTGCGCAGGAGCAGAGATGCGTGGCCGTCGCCTTTCCTCGGTGGGGTCCTGCCCTCCAGCCTGTTCCTTCTCCACGTGGAGTCCTCTCTCCGGTAGGGAAATGTGCCTCTGAAATGAGTCCATTACTCCAAGTAATTCCCCCTTACTTGTTTTCTTTAGCAGACTCCTGGTTTTGTCTGAGCCCATGATATTTCCAGCTCCCCTTACTGAGATTCTTCCTAAATTTGAAGCAAAAGTTGAGGATACTTGTGATCGTAGGGTTCTCAGAATACTCACGCAAGCTGGAGTTCACCACAAAACTCGTTTATAATGTTTGCGAATCCCAGCATGTAAGCACAGAGAACGTACTTTCCTAGGCTTCACCAAACCACCTGGGAGGTATTATATCCAAAAGTGAGTTAGTAGCTAAAAGGTAAACAAACCTTAATGAAAATCTCTATCTGTTCATCAGATAGTGAATGTCGTTCTTCTTGCACAATTAGATCTCGATCCTTTCCCACCTGAGGAGCGCCCTGAGGTCAGAGTGAAGGAGGGGAAAGGAATGGTGCTTCTCTGTGACCCTCCGTACCATTTTCCAGGTAAACTGAGTCTCTCTGTGACGGTAAGCATCTATGAAATGAAATGAACAAGCTCTAAGCTTTTTAACAATAATGGTACATTTATGATTAAATAAGACTCAATATTTGCCCAAGCTTGTAATGCATCATTTACTTGTGGTTATAGAAGCTTCCAGACTCATATTCGCTTGGCCCTAGTACTAGAGACCTATGAACATTTTGGTTTGTAAGCAAATATACACATTGGATTATGTCCACATTTAAGTTCCTGTTACACAGGAGAAAACTTAATAGATATTTTATAAGTTATTCTTGAAGTAAAATGGTACCAAAGAGTGATATATAATCGATCATTTTATTAATAATTAACATCTGCAATATGCTGTGAACTGTAATTAAATGTTAGAAAGGGGTAACGACATAGTAAATTATTAATCTCTTTAGGACTTCTGATCTTCAAGAAGAATCATCCAGTTTAGAAAAGGGCTTAAATTGAGTGTCATCTCTAACAAGATTCAACCTTTGAACGTGTTTTCTGTAGTTTGATATGGCTGAAGTAAAAGCCACCAGCATGCCAATTAAAAGATGAACACTTCATATACTTACACTAATTTTCATTTGTTTTACCAAATATCCCCTTGAAAAAATATATAAATACCACTTTTCACAGGGAGAGAGATAATGCTTTGTAGACTTACAGTTCTAACAGTATGCCATAAATTTGACTTCAAATACTCCATAGGGAGTTAACAATAACAAGCTATTATAAATCATTTTTCGTGGAATACATCAATAGGGTACATATGTAAAATCATACACACATCTACATATATTCTGTTCCAATTATATAAATACATTCTGCTTACATGTCAAATACTGGTAATTTCAGTGACTGCAGATGACTGTTAATAAATGTCAGAGAAACACATGAGTTCAAAATGTTGTAACAGCCTTTCAATGAGAAAATAGTCTTTTCTTTGAAGAACTGCTGGAACTGTTTGAAAAAAGTCCCCTCATCTCCATGGTGTTTCCCACAAACAAAGCAAATGATCATAAATAATCAGTGACTGCATTTGACTGTATTCGGCACTGGATGGGCTCCATTCAGTCACTCTCATCGGGTCTCTTGTGACACTCACGTCTCATGTACCAGGCACTGTTCATGCCCCACGAATACCTCGGGGAGTGAGACAGAAGAGCCGCGTACCCACCTGCTGCTGGGAGAGACAGACAACAGACAGGATGTGTGATTAACAGGCGTGTGTCAGATGCTGACAGATGTGCACTAAGGAGACAGTTAATGCAGGGAAGTGGGAGGGTAAGTGATGAGGGGATGGCTGAACTTTCAGAATGTGTATCACTGAGAAGGTAACTTGAACTGAAGGCCTAAGGAAATGAAGACCCTCGCAATGCAGGTATCCGAGGGGAGGGTATTGCAGGCAGGGGCAGCCAGAGAAAAGGCCTGAGATGGGACTGGGGAGGAGGGTCAAAGAGGCCAGGGGGCTGAAGTAGAGAGAGCGAGCCGGGCAGTAAGAAATGAGATTAGAGAGATGCCAGCGCTGGATCGTGTAGGCCCTCATCACTCAGAGCAACTGCACTGGCTTTTACTTGTGTGACATTTGTGTCAGAGGGCTTTGAACAGAGGAGTCACACGCCATGGTGTGAAAAAAGATGAGAATGGCAACTATTCTAAGAAAAGACTTAGGGGAGGGTAACCAGAAGATGGGGAAGGAGGTATCGCAATAATCTGGGCAGCATGCGAGGGGCTAGAGTGGTGGCCGTGGAGATGGGAAGAAGTGGTTAGAGTGAAGATATGTTTTGAAGGAGGAGCCGAGAAGACTGGCTGTGGACTTTATGTGAGGTCTGAGAGAAACACAGGCATCAAGGAAGCGCCGGACTTTTTTTGTCAGGAGCTCCTGAAAGAACGGAGTCACCGCTACCTGGAGGAGCAGACGTGGGCCTGTGCAGTGAGGTGCCTGTCCAGCTGCCAAAGGCAGCCGCCGAGCTGGGGTCCTGTAGGGCACAACGCCCGGGCGACGGCTGAGACAGCATCAGGTTGTGATACACTGTTGTATAAAGCGCTTTCCAAGCCACAGGACTGCCTGTGCTTGCCCGGAGAAGTCGTGTAGGTAGAAAGGGAAAGAGGAGTCCAAGGAACAGGCGTGGAGGTTTTTCTCAGATAAGCCTCGGTTCCGGTCCCTGTGGCGCCTTCACTACAGGGCTGAGTGAAGGATTTCACGGACCGACACAAGGTTGGTAGAACATGAAGTCAGTAAGCCAAATGAGTTACTGCAGTCACTGGTCATCCTGATAGAGACACATACATTTACACGGGCAGGGGGTGGGCAGAGGGCTAAGTTGGTCTCTCAAGGAAGTCCAAGCAACATTATTAATCACAGAATAGAATCTAAACAGCCTGCATCTTCTATCAGTTTATGTTATTAAGAGAGTATAACCTCTTTGAACATCAGACATGTTACATTCAAATATAAGAATGGACATATGCTTCAGAACCATAATGTGAGTGTATGTGTGTGGGAGGGTTTCCATGCCATAAATCCCCCTTCCTCCCAAATATAGTCAAGCTAAGGCTTTGTATTTTGCAGTCGAGAGCTTCATGGGGTTGAAGGTGAAAAGAAACCTTGGGCTCTGCACCTCCAAGAACATCACACATGAAGCCATTTATGATTGTCGAGCCCTATTGCTCTATTTGGTGATCTGTCAAACTGGGATTCAGTCATCACTGTGTCAGATCAGTTTAGGCATATCTACATGCCAGTTTCCTCGTTTGAAATTTAGGGATCATAATTTCTGTGCCATCTGCTTCACAGAGCTTGTTATAAGTTTCAAATTTTGTAATGTACTTAAAAGTGCTAAAATGAATGTGTAATTTTAATGGATTATTAAATAAAATGTATTTAGTACATTTAATATGTCAAATCTATGATTATTAACATAAATAAAGTATACTTAGGATACTAAAGATTTTTGGTTTTCAGTTATAGAAATGCTGTCTCACTCATTTACGTACAGGAAAAAGATCTGGGAAGAAAGCCTCATCTTTCACAATCTATTATATTTTTCTGTGGGTTTGCTGCTCTACCGTTTCTTGCAAAGGGGAAAAACTTAGATCTGAACTACTTTACTTGTTTGTCAAGGACAATTACACATAAACATATCAGTAGAAATTTTTATTCTGTTTTATAATAATGTTGGATATGCAACTAATTGCCTAATGCCCAGCACAGAGTAAGTGCTTAACAAATATTTGAGAAAGGAGGGAGTGAAAGTGTAACTAAATGTATTCATTAAATTGATGGGTGTACAAATTTAAAAAGATAAATTTACCTGTTCAGATTTTGTTTTGTTGAATTGCAGTCAATAGTTCACAAATGTGTAAGACTTCCTAAACTCCTCAACCCTAAAAAAATGGAAACATAACCCTTTATTTCTGGATAATTTTCTATCCATGTAACTAGCAGGAACTGAGTTGCTACATCTCACAAAATATAAATCATATATGTGTATATTTAGAGAGAGAATAATGGAAGAAAGTACATCATTTGAAGGGTGAATACTCTTGACAAAATGTGCAATACCTGGTCATAGACACAGATATGTATTTTAAAATGAATAAAAAATGGGAATGCTTTTAAGAAAAATAACTCCTGGCATGTTGAATAAAATCATGAATGAATCTTAGTAGACTAACAAACTCAGCACAAAAATAGACACAGGAGGGAATCCATGAGCCCACACTATAATGGGTATAAATTTCTCTCTACACAGGCTTAATACATAAGTTTACTGTGGGTGTCAAAGTACTAATCAGAAGCTATAGTGATTTTATTGGCATAGGTAAATTCTGCTCTGTTGAGATTAATTTAAACAGAAAGAACAAACATCTCCTCAAGTTGGCAAATTACTAATCCAGGGAACACTACACTACTTCAAATTATTTCAGGGAGAGGTATAAATTATTTAGGAAGGTTAGATAAATGATGTATTCAAAGCAATGCAGTGGAACTATGCAAAGACATGCAACATACTTGGCTGTCACAAAGTTCCCCTGTGATATGGTCCAGATTCGCACAGCAAAGAAATCCCAGACGCGGATCAATAAAAGTAACATTTCTGAAACAGGTGTGAGCACATACTCTTCATGAAAAATTAATTATATGGCCATGTTATTATTTAAGGCAGTGAACCATGGTTATTGAGTAAGGGGCAGAACATCTAATCTCTCTCCCCACCAGCTGCAAAGACTGCACCATGTTTAGTGTGGCAGCTGCCGTGACTCTGACTTAAGAATGAGACTTACTTTTGGCCACCAAGACAACCAATTTGGTGACCAATTCTGGCAACTAAACCCCAACCCGGTTCTCACAGGGACTCAATGAATTATCTTCTCATCTGTCCTTCCCTGCCCCCATGAGGATGTTAAAATTAACCATCTTCAAAAAAGCCAACATATGTTTTTTTTCATATCATTGTTCACTGGCTTAACTAATAACATTGCCATAAAATGAAGTTTTCATGAAGAGTATGTGCCTACACCTGTTTCAGTTATTGATCCATGTCGGGATGGTGTGTCATGACTCTTTAAAAATGGTTTTGACCTTCCATCACCTTACATCTAAAAGTCTATCTAACTTGGTCCAAGACATCTCCCCTTATAATCCTAATGGCAGTTGTCCTCACATAGTCATGTTTTACGGGATTCATCATTTTGTGACTGGGAAGTATGCATTACCCATAGTTCCCTCTTGTGCGTTATTGTTGTGCATGACTATGTGGGGTCACTCCTCAAAGCAGGAAGGGAAGGTAGGAATAGAAAAAGGTATGAAAAGAAAGAGCAAATTAATGCAGAAATTCAGCGTTTGGCCTAACCAGCCAGTAGCCAGAGTAAGTTCCTGTGGGTTAGAGTTACCATCTATGTACTTCCTATATTTAAGAAAGTCAGTAAAATGACTTTCTCTGTTTCTGTGGTTTTCACTTTTAATGGCCAGAATAGGTTATGTAAACTCATTTCCAAATCTATAACTTAAAATAGGAATACAAAAAGTAAATGATATAGAGCCTTAGTATTATTAAAATCTTTACTTTGTTTTTAAAATGCAGCAGGGAAGATGGGTCATGAGCTTTGGAATTATCAGTCCTAGATTCGAAACCCCATTGCTACTGAACAGTCATGAAATTCTAAGCAAGATATTTAACCTCTCTGAGTTGAGTCTAGCCCACCAAAGAACTAGAAGTAAGAATATTAATAATCTGTAAAATAATTGAGAGAGAAAGATAAAACTGCGAGTATGATACATTCAATCAAAATATGATAGCTCTTAGAAAATGTGCAGTCTGCCTTGGCCTATGTCCAATACTTGCTCTGCAGTAGCCTAGATTAGGCTTGTTGCTAATCTAGCAACCCCAGCTTGTTGCTAGAAAACAGAACCTTTGCTTTTGGAGAAGAGCTTCATATTTAGTTGACAATATTTTCTTCTAGATGACCTTAGCTACCGCTGGCTTCTAAATGAATTTCCTGTGTTTATCACAATGGATAAACGAAGATTTGTGTCTCAGACGAACGGCAATCTCTACATTGCAAATGTGGAGGCGTCTGATAGAGGCAATTATTCCTGCTTTGTATCCAGTCCTTCTATTACAAAGAGTGTGTTCAGCAAATTTATCCCACTCATTCCGCTACCTGAGCGTGAGTATTGTATATGTCACACTGTTTTTGCAAGGTTGTCTGTTTATGGCGTGCTTACAATAATGAGAACAAGTACCCAGTGGGAAGAAAAGCTGGCTGCTCAGTCAGGACAAATGAGGACACACACTTTGGAAGTCTTGGTCCTTCTTTAGCTTTTCTGATGGAGATTATATCATAAAATGCTCTCAGGTGGTTGAGTTTGCACTGGTTTCCTGCAGTTTAGAGAATGCACGGGGGACTCACGCATTAGCGAATCACCCACATACCGGTCACAGTGGGAGTCGCCGGCCTCTGCTTTTTGTTTCATGGCCATTCCTACTTCATGGGAAGTTCATGAAAGGAAACAAATGCTCAGATCGAAATAAACTATACTGATTGCAGAATTTGGAAGAACAAGACAGTTGCATTGTTTTTATAATTTTAGGAACTATTTGCATGAAGCAAATAGGTATGTACCTTGCCCTTCTACCGAGAGTAGCATAGAGCCGAACTGCCGTGGCGCCGTGTCCCATGAGCAGCGACACACCTGCCCGGCCTCTGCTTGGGCTCCGGGTGAACGGCCTGCCTTCTTCGGATGCACCGCTTCCTGCGAGGGCCGGACTCCGATCCGTGTGCGCACTCTGCACTGCTCTTCTGCAGTTGGCTGCCTCTCAGATCACTGAGGCCAAGGCTCCAAACCAGTTCTTGTGGTTGACAGACCGGCTGGTTCCTGTCTCCACCCCTGTCGTGTGTGACAATAGAGAAAAATGTCATCTCATTGCTGCGACTCCACTGCTCACTCTTCCCAGGATAGGGTTACGTGGTTGGTAGTCAGTAAATTCATTTTTTGACTTTGGGCTCTTTTTTCCTCCACAATCTTGGGAAACACTGTCATTCACTGCATTTCAGAGCTAAAAGGAGCCAGTATATAAAACGTTCCTAAACTTTCTTTCCTTCTCTTCCCCAGAAATTTTCCTCTATTTATTACTGTCTGTTTCTGTGGAAGAAGAGCTTCTCCTCTGCTCCAGCGAATTCCCCCGGTGCTGGTTCGCACCCCATCTGGTTCCCTTCGGGGCTTCACTGCCTCCTTCTGTTCCGAGTCTTCAAACTCTCCTCCATTCGGTTTCCTCTGCATATTCTTTTGTGTTCAGTGCAAACTATGAAGATTAACCAAAACAACCCATTATTTGCCAAATTCAGAGGGCACTTTTCAGTCCTGCTTCCGTATGAACTTTGACACTGTCGATCCCTCCTGCCTTTGTTGAACTTGTCCTTCTTTTCCTCGTTTCCCTGATCCCTTCTGCTTTCTCCTCATCTCCCATCCACTTCTGACCAGTTTCGTCAGGATCCTTCACCATCATCTTCCTCCTCCTCCTATTTCTTTCTAGTCCTTTTTCTAGATATTCTCACCCATTCACACTTTTCCAGCGGTGACCCTATGCAGGTGGCTCCAAATGCACACCTCCAAAGACCTCCCTCTTGTAGGCCTTTATTCAGCCTTCCTTTGGCTCTTGTCCCACAGAAGGTTCTCCAGGACGTTGATCTCAGAATGTTCCAGACACGCCCCTCCCCTGGCCTCCAAGCTTCCTCCCCCAGTGTCCTTCCTCCCGCTCAGCAGTACCTTCCTCCTGGGCTGACTCGGGAGCGCTTCTAACGCTGAGACCCTCTCTCCCCCTCATCCCCACAACAGCACGTCCGGGGGTTCCCTGTTAGATTGTGAGCGCCTGGGGAGCGTGAGGGAAGGGAACCCGGAGATGCCCCTCGGCAGGCCTAGGATGCACCCCGCAGCCTGCAGCTCAGGACCCCAGCGATTCTGAGGAGCTGGAGTCTGGTCCGCCCCTGGAGGAGACACTGGCCGCAAGGGCAGGCCGGTTGCTTCTGCCTCTGAAAGGTAACTCACATCAGCTCTCTCTGTGCCCACTGGGGCGGCGCCCTAGCATGGCCCCCGCCTGTTTTGCTTGAATCTGTGAAACAGCCTCTGAATTTCTCTTCTCCGTGACCGACCCTTTAACACTTCCAACACAGTCTTCCCCTTAAACCAAAGGTACACCTCATAGCAGTGCTCTTACCAAAACTCATCTGTCGTTACCTACTGAGGAAGTTGCCCCCCCATGCGTCATGTCACAGTTCAGAGCCTCCTGATTGGAGGTCCAAGCTTATCTGCAGCTACACGTACTTCGGTATGATTGGAATTCTTCCTAGACTTACTTTAATTCCCTGCACACGCCTGGAGCTTTGTCATTCTGTGCTATTTGCTCGACCTGAACCGGTCTGGTCCAAATGCCCTTCTTGCCTGAGATTCCCGTAACTACTACAATGCTTCCAAAAATCCACCTCAGCTGCTACTCTTTCAGACCACTTGTTTTTGTTTTGGCTTGTATTTGAGGTTACGGTGTATCTACTTACTTGTCTTTCTAGTACTTTACAGTATAAAGTACACACAACATTGTGATCTTAATGTATTTAGCCTCTGAGTCCATTTCTTCTCCTGTAAGTTGAAGGGAAGAGTACATCTTTCCGTACTGCTGTGCGAAATAACTTGTTTCAGTGGATAAACACAGTGATGTTGGAGTGAAGATTTTTCATCCTTGCCTCTCTCCTCCCCTCTTTTCAACCAGTTTACACTCTGCCTTCATCTCCATGGACCCATCTTCCTTCTTTTCTCACCTCACCTTTTCACTTCCTCCTTCCTCATTTCTTTTCTTCTTTCTCCTTCCTGAGCCCCAGCACAATGTTTACACATTTCTGATGCTCCCCAAAGACTTTTGGCATTTTTCTGGTGAACCGAGGCAGTTTGGTCACACAGCTGTCAGAATGAGCCGATCTGAGTTGAACATGCTTAATGATACTTATGCTGTATCTATACTGGGTGTAGAAAGCAACACACACAAATCTGTGCCTTGTGACACAATCAGATATTTCCCACTACCTGTACAGAGAAAAGTCTTCCATATTGAAGCAGTTCTAATTGAGTAAAAAAATCACCATATTGAAAGGAACTCTATCATTTCTACTATCCTACCCAATAGTTATGCAGAATTAAGGTGTGGGGATTTTTCTTATGTGTGCGTTTTTCTTAATGTTAGGAACAACGAAACCATACCCTGCTGATATTGTGGTTCAGTTCAAGGATATATATGCACTGATGGGCCAAAATGTGACGTTGGAGTGTTTTGCGCTGGGCAAGTAAGTGTATTTACATTTTTCATTAACATGTGTAGAAATGTGTTAATTTTTCTACCACCATTTTAGGAAATAAATGATGTAACTGTTTAGCCATAAACATAAGTGAAATAAGTGCTTTTGAAATGTTGTGGACCCTTAGCTGTTGTCTCCTATTTGAAGTCCTGTTCCCGACATCCGGTGGCGGAAGGTTCTAGAGCCAATGCCGAGCACTGCTGAGATCAGCAGCTCCGGGGCTGTCCTCAAGATCTTCAACATTCAGCTGGAAGATGAAGGTACCTATGAATGTGAGGCTGAGAACATTAGAGGAAAGGATAAACACCAGGCAAGAATTTATGTTCAAGGTAGATATATTTTTCTAATTTTCTATAAATTGCCTCAATATCTTATTTACAGCCAATTCCATACTCGAAAAGTTAGTACATAATGAATAACAGTTTAAAAACAGTGATGTACATTACATTATGCAAAAAAGATGACATATTTACTTTATATCTGATTAAGTCACAATTATGTGACTTATAGCATTAGCATCATAGTAATACCAAAGGACGGACAGCAGTGATCTTATTTTCAGAAAATACAGTTAGTGAAGCCTGTTTGTTCCCATTGCTCATACTTTTTTTTTCCAATATATTTTTATTTGTAGAAGATCCTATGGTGTAAGCCACTGGTTTGCAAACTTTGGTATTCCTCAAAAAACCTCAAATTATAAAAATCTGTCTTGTTAAAACACAGATTGCTGGCTTCTGCTCTCAGAGTTTCTGAGTTAGAAGGACTGTCAGAGCCCAGGAATTTGTATTTCTAACAAATCCCTATGAGATGCTGATGCTACTGATCCAGGAACCACACTTTAAAAACCGCTGGTCTAAGGAGATTTTTTTCTTTCATGCATTTTTCTCGGTACAAGTGTTTGACATCCACACCTTGAAATGAACTTATATTTGGGAGGATAAAATGTTGTTTCTCAGGTAACACTTGAAACTTTTCAGGCTGAAATAATCTCTGTAATGTTCCACAGTGTGAAATTTACAGGTCCCAGTGGAATAAAGTTCTAAGGCTTCAACAAGACCATTCATTTAAAGGGCATGAATACAGTGTCTACTCAGAGGCAGAGACTGTGATAGGAGCAAGTAGAGTTAGATAAAGGAAATGCTCTGTCCTTGAGGAATTCATATTATAGTCATACTATATACACATTAATGCAAGTTGACACAGGCAAATACACATACCTATATATACAGACACACACACACAAAATTATAATGAAAATCGTGAGAGGGTAATGTGGAAGCTTACATAAAACCTTAATAACACATGGTGTGCGTATCTTGGCCACCCTGAGAAGATGCGTGCTAGGGAAAGCTGGAGATGATGCCTGAGCTGAAGTGGATCCCGGGATGGGGAAAGCATTATGGGCGGGTCAGGACCTTGGCCCCTGCCCTGACCCCGGGCCCCTGTCTGTACAGAGGTGAGGTGAGTGTCTCCAGTGCTGAGCATATGCAGCCCTTCTCCCACCACTGCATAGAATCCACTGGGGTTAGGCTTTTGGCCTTGCACGTGCTTTAGGACACCCAGTCCAGGCATCAGACCCCCTGTGTTCTCACCCTCTGCTCTGAATTCTCACCCTAACTGAAATGTGGCTCTCCCTTAAAGTCACTGTGTCCCCGGCCCTCCCGCCTTGACTCTTCAGTATACCTGCCCCCTCACACTTCAGGCCAGCTCTAGACTACCTTCCCTCTTTGCCCCTGAATGTTCAGTTACAGGCTTATGTTGGGCCAACCCCCCTCATTCCTCTGAATTTCTTGCTGTTGGCAGTGCTCACGAACTAGAACACTACTGACTTTATTCATAGTAACATCAAAATCAACCGAGCTGTAATTATTTTTAAAAATAGTCTGGCCTTGCATATTACTACGCAGATGGACAGTGACTGTAATGGGGTTTGTGGGGGGTGGGACTTGGTGAAGGGGGGAACCTAGTAAACTTAATGTTCTTTCTGTAATTGTAGTTTAATGATACCAAAAAAAAAACCAATAAAAAAAATAGTCTGGCCTCTCAGTGTCCTTGAACTCCTGTTCTCTGATGACCTTGTCCCTCAGCCTGCCTCAGCCGTCCACTCCCCTGCCGTCCTTCAGACCTCATTATTCCTGAAAAGTGTGATCCCTTTAGAGTCTCAGTTTCAAAACTTTCACTCTCTGGCCACTACACCTTTTCTTTCTAGCTCATTCCCTTTGAGACCCAGATTCCTACGTCTTTTGAGTCTACCAGGAACTGTAATGAATGAACCTTACAATGCTTTCACTTTTGCTCACTTTCCCTAGCCTCTGTCCACCTTTCTCCTAAATCGGTGATTGATCGTTATTGTTCCCCTGCACACTCTCCCAACTGACTCACTTCTCTCCCCTTTGTTGTACTGTCGTTGCAAAAGGCTAACCCTCGAGAATTCTAGCTCTCTGCCTGTATCAGTGCCTGAAAGCAGGAGCTTGGATATGACTTGAGAAAAACACTACCATGCAGATTAGTCCATTTTACATTAATCACCAAGGAAAAAAGAGCCCTTAGTGCCGCCTGGCAGTCATACATTTCCCAGGCCCACTCTGCCGCTCTCGTAGATGGCCTTTTCATGCCTCTAAGATTTCCTTCAAACCCATAACACTACCTTCTCCGACTTTACTCTCAGCTGATAACCTGGCTTCCTATTTCATAGAGAAAAATGGAAGGAATCCAACTGGAATTTCCACAAGCTCTTACCCAACATCTACTCAATACCTGCATCTCTCCCCATATCTCTTACTACCACAGATTCAGCTGCTCTCTGAGGCCAACACCTCCACTTAGGCCCTGCTTCCACCCCTCCTACCTACTTAAGGATATTGCTCCAGCAATCCCATCTCCCTGTACCATAAACAATTTCTTTTCTCTTCACCGGATCATTCACATCAGTGTTAGATGAGTTCTTCTTTCTTCCTCCTTTAAAATAATATATATTTTTAAATTCTGACTACGGCTCCATTTCTCTTATCTCCCCTAAAAAGTAATAAAAATCTTGACAGATTTGTCTATGCCCTCTAAAATGTCTACAATTTTTTCTTCTCCCTTAAGGGCACATTCTACTTTGAATTTTCATCCCTGCCTCCCCACTGAAACCTTTCTTTACATGATCACGAAGGGCTTCCATGTTGTGAAGCTGGCAGTCAGTTCTCAGTTGCGTGTTACCTGATGTAAGCAGTTGCCCCAGTTCACCCGTCCCTCCCCACTATTCACTTTCCGTACTTGGCATCTGGAATCTACCCTTTGTTAATGTCCTCATGCACCATTCTCGTTTTCCTCCGAACTCCATGTCCTTCTCACATTGGAGCACTCAGGAGTTGGTCTTTGAAATTAGTCGCTATTTCGCTCACTGCCTATGTGATCTCATTTATGATCATGGCTTTAAATACTCTCTGTACCCTGAAAATTCTGACCCAGACATGTATATACCCAACACCCCAAGAAAATTCTCTTAATACGTATCATGGGTGGCCTCTTGAAAGGAGGTATATTCTGGTTAGACCACTTACATCCTTAAAATACAACCACTACTCTTTCCCAGGTGTTTGAGCTTATAGATCTGTTTTTGTTTAACACAGTAAGAAAACTACATTCCACATTCTCAACAGAGTTCTGAACTGTCTAATATCTAATTCCTTAGAAGAATCAAGGTGACAGAGCAGTATTTTATAGGAGGTAATTTAAATTGTCATTTCTCCTTTACCATTGAGGCATATTAACTTTTATCTTTAGGTAAAATCAAACAACCAGAAGGTTATGTAATTAAATCGTAGGTAAGATGTGTCAGGCTGATCAATTATTTATTCTTCTTACTGTATTTTTAATGTTACATCTCCGTGTCACCTGTGAGAGGCCAAGACAAGAAGTGCTGATATCCCTGTCTTGTATATTGACAGGATTGTGTACAACATAAATCCTCTATCAATTAATATACTTATCAATATTTAATTTTAGCAAGTAATCTCCATATATTACAGACAAAATGTAGTAAGTGAAAAGTATACTAAATCATATTATATGTACTATAAAAATACGTATGTATACATATATACATATTGTTGATGGGTTTGGTGAGATCATAAAAATGTTTTATGTTCTTTTTTATTATAGGCATTAAATACTTCCTACATGTTATGTTCATTATTTTTGTCACAAAATCAACAGAATAAAAGTTATAATTTTCAAGGAAAATTAAATAAAATATTACTTTCCACTCAGGAGGCTCCCCTCCTACCTCCTTATTTTATATTAATTTATTTACCTACATCTATTTAGACAAATAAATACGTGAAAACATCAGATTGCTCATTTGCTTACTCTCTAGAAATATTACATTCTTTGGGGAATTCTTAGTATTTGTCTTCAGCTATCAGTGGATCAAATCAAATGATGAGGCCGAGATCAACTTAAGTATAGATTTCACTAATTATAGCTGCTATATTTAGTTTCTAATATGAAAGTATATTTAAGTGACAAAGTCATTTTTCTAGTCCTACAGTAAGATGTTATGATGGCCACTAGCTGAATGTTACATCAAAAAGAAGGTAACATAAACCTGAGGGGGTGAGAAAAAAAATAGAATATATAAAAAAGGAAGAGATAGTATTATAATCAGTTAAGATGTAATTCTTTAAAACCATGTCGTTTTGAACAATTTTTGTTACAAGGAAAACATAATTATTTTAGTGCTCTTTACAAATACGCTTTCTAATAAAACATGGTGCACAAATAGAAAAGCGATGACGAATTGTAGTTATCTCGTGCTATACTAATGTAGGATAAAGTTTACCTGCAGACCTGTGGAAATTCAGGTTCGATGGCTCTAACATTGATGTTATGGCACACACATTGTCTGATGTATTCTCCAGGCCAACTAAATGTAATATTTGTATTTTTGGATTACGATGAACATTGAGATTGCATTTGACATCTAAATGGCCTTCACTTTTCAGCATTTCCTGAGTGGGTGGAACATATCAATGACACAGAGGTGGACATAGGCAGTGACCTCTACTGGCCTTGTGTGGCCACAGGGAAGCCCATCCCTACAATCCGATGGCTGAAAAATGGATACGCGGTATGTACGATCAAGTGGTGTGCAGCCCTTGCGTCCCCACTCAGGCAACATTTCTAGGTGGTCCTGGGATAAATTTAGGAGGAGGGACTACAGAGTAACTGTATCTGGGCCTTGAAATAAAAAAAAAATCTCCTTAAAAAAAAAAGTAAGCAACAAAGTGAACATAAAATATCTTTCAGCTTAAACAGCTTTCTGCTATCTTACGCCCACCTCCTCTCTCTCTCTCTCTCTCGCTCTCGCTCTCTCGTTATTTTTTCCTTTGTTCTACTTACCCTTTTTCCCACTCATGCATCTGTACTACCTGGCATTGACCTCTTTTTCTTGCTGCTGTTTCCTGCACCCCACAGAAACTGAGGGTCCTACCTTGAGCCCTAGGGACCAGCCACAGCAGTGGGGTCCTTCTCTGCTCTCCCCCTGTAACCTCCCAGCTGGGCCAGAGGGGAAAAGGTGGACTCTTGGCTCTGTAGGATGGAGAGGACAAGGGCCATGGGCATGGTGCGGGTTTACTGCCCATTGCACCAAAACCCCACCGCACGTGGCTTAGTCAGCAGCGGGGACAAAATAATGTATCTAAATGAAAAGGCACCCACGCCCGAACCTAAACGAAAGTATTCCTACTAAAGTTGATTGAGGAAATGTGTTTTACCTCGTGTTCTTTTCAGTATCACAAGGGGGAGCTGAGACTGTATGAAGTGACTTTTGAAAATGCCGGCATGTATCAGTGCATAGCCGAGAACACACACGGCGCCATCTACGCCAACGCGGAGCTGAAGATCTTGGGTGGGTATCGTTTCTAGTTTCTTTATCATTAAGCAAAAACGCAACGCATTAAAAATGATCATAAGCTGTCTGTAGATCACATTTGATTTTCTTGAATCACTGAAGTTAAAGACTTTTAAAATGTGCTTGGAAGAGAATTTTGCTTATTTCTTTTTATTAAAGAACAGTAAATAAATTTGAGGCATTTTTCTAAAATGCTTTAAACTTTACACATGCCAGTTTTTACAAGCCTTGTCCTCCCCAGTGTCTAGGCAGCGAAACGCTGTCTGAAATCGCAGGTGGCCTTGGACGGGTCTTGAGACTTGCCGGCTGCGGGAGTGCTTGGGTCTCATGCCCCACGACCGCTATTTAAAATCTTCAGGACACCCTCAAGCCCCCTAGGCCACCTGCCTCCTACTTCCTGTTGCCCTCTGCCTGCCCCATGGAAACTGAAACCCTTTGAAATAAAATGTCCCAATTTCCCATGCCTGAGAAGCTCTCTCAGTCTCGACTGCACGTGCCTTCACGCTCTCCTTCTCCAGAACCAGCCCCTTCCCTTTGCCCTGCGCTCATGCCTTCCCACTTACCTGGCGCTTGATGCCCGCAGATGGCCCTCCACGTGGTGAGTGCCTCCCCTTCCGGTCACGCTTTGCTCTTGACTCCTCTCCCCTGGTGACCCCGTGTCTCACACCTCCAGGTTCCTCCTGCCGTCGCGTCCCCTTTCCAGCCCTCCCTCCGCCCAGAGTCCTGCCCTCTCTCAGAGGACCCTTCTTTGGGTTCCACCCCATTTTCTCCTCATTCTTTCATGAACTCTATGTTGTTATTCCTGGATTATTATTATTTCTAAGTGTTTAAAAAATCCTGGGTAATTCTGTCTTCTTCTCCATTAACATCAGTGATTCTTTAATTTATATCTCTGGCCCAGATGTTTGTCCTCCACTTTACACTCAGATAAAGAGATTCCTAATAGAAATGCCCCTGTTGTAACCGCACAGGTAACCCAAACTTGAAATTTGGTTCATTATCTCTCACTCACATCCACATCTCCCCCTAAAAGATTCTCTATTCTAGGGAATGACATCCTTTAAACCAACCATGACATCCTGTCCTCCCATTATATCGACTAAACTTCTCAGTAAATCTCTTGAGTGTTCACACTGTCCTTATTTTCAAAATCGCAGTAACTCACTAAGGTCTCACTGGACCCTGCGCCTTTGATCGTGTTGTGTGCAGCCACCACCAGGTTTAGGTAAATGATAGTCACACACCCAGTCAGGCAGGCTTTTCTCTCTTACAGCTGATTGCTGGAAAGATAAAACAGTGACTGTGTGACCTTGTTTATTCTTGTGACACCAAAGGGAAATGATTTAAAATATTGCTATTACTGCAAATTAAGTGTCACTAAAAGAATATGAAAGGGCATGGTATAATTGTAAGACTGTATTCAAGAAACTATCTTTAAAAAAAGTTTAGGCCTGCCTTCTTAATCTTAACTTTCCCTGCCTCTTATTATAATGCTGAAAATCATATTCCATTTTTCCCCTGAAAGTCAAAATTTCTTGATAAAATATTTACCTTATTTGGGCATCCAGCAAATATTCAGACTTAGGTTTCTTGCCATATTACTTTGCTAAAAAGTGCAATAAAATCATTTTGATTTTTAGAGAAGATATGCAGTGAGCTTGAATTCTTTCCCTAAACTTCCTATTTTCGGTTAAAGGTTGCTTATCATCATACATTACAGAAGAATATAAAAATTTAGTAACTCAGCCTGAAAGATCTCTCTATACTCAAGCCTAAAATCTTACAACCATCTACTGACTTTTTGTAGTAATTAAAGAAACCGTTGGAGCATTGCAGCATGAGAACAATGTTCCTGAGTGTCTTTATATTTGTTTAATCTATTTTTGTTTATAATCTTTAGGACAGTGCTTCTGTCTATTAATAATCATCTAGTTAGTTCACCTATTCACCAACCAAATATTTATTGCATACTTACTCTATACCAGATACTATTCTTTTATTAGGGGCAGGACAGAACAAGAGACAAAAAAGAACGCATGTCCTCTTCTTAGTTAAGGGAAAAATGTTACCCTTATTCCTTCCCACCTCTAAGATATACAGGCACATAGTCTGGATTCTGTCCTGTTCAGCATTAGACCAGTCTGAAGGCATTTAAGTGACTGCACAAATCAACTGTTCATTAAAATTTAATTAATTCAAGAAACAAAATCTCATTTTCTACATGAATTTAGACGTTCAAAGTAAGTTTTAAGTTTTCTCTCACATTTTACAAGCAGTATGTCACCCAAAGGGTTTATTTAGCCTGTGAAAAATACCACACACTGTATTAGGTGCACAACACGGGTGGGGTGGTGACTACTTACTTATTAACTGCCAGTTACCAAAATTCAGACTAAAGGAACAATGGAATAAATAAATCCTTGTCATAAACAGTGTGTTCCTCAGGGCCGCAGAGGCCCCCCCCCCATGCTGAATCAGCATTTTCCCAAGATCCTCAGATAATTTTGACGCACAGATATAATCTGAGAACACTGGGACAAGGTGGTGTGGACTCAGGACCTGGACAATGGTCTCTACAGACCTACCAGAAGGCTCCAGAAAGGACGCAGTTACAGACGATTAGAATGTGTGGAAGGAGACAGGGAGTCTGCTAAGACACAAGGAGACTGAGAACCGAGCTAGTTGTGGGGACCCGAAAGAAAGTTAGAACGTGTCACCAGTAGAGCAGCCTTTTATGAGACTCTATTTCCTGTTGTCATAATTGTTGTTTCTGTACTTTGATGGAAGGGTAAACTACAGGTGGATCATGTCAGCTAGATTCACCATTCCCATAGCTGATCGCAGGAAGGATTGACGGCAGGGGTCTTTGTTTATTTTGGCATCTCCCGTTATCTACACATAGTTGCTCAACAAATGTTTGAATAATGAAGGTAGAGTCATATCATTTAATGAAAAAGGCATGCTTGTGAGTCAGAAGGAATGAGATTCAAAGGTGAATTCCACCTGATACTCCGTGTCACCTTTGGCAAATTAGATAATCTTAATAACAACTTTTTCATTTGTAAATGGGAGGCAGTTCATTTGAAGTGTGGCTGAGAGTCCTGATTAAGACCACATATCAATATTAGTACTGGTGCTCAATTTCCCCCAAACTTACAGTCAGATCCCTTTGTGCAATTGAGTCAAAAAAATTGAATCAGATGTCAGCTTCAAGGTAGATAAGTATATAGCATTTGGTTGTAACTAAAATTTAAAATAATCCAATTATCGTGAAGAAGTGTACTTTTGAAACAGGTGCATTTTATAATTAGAATGTGCCTCAGTGAAGTTATTAGATAAAAGACAAAAGGTGTTCGTATTAGGTGTAGAGTGTCTCTTGGTCACAGCTGATAACATGTGGTGAGATTAATCTCTTCTATTGATTATTAGTCAGAAGGGAGTAGAAGATGTAGAGCATATAAAAGTATTTTTTATTTTTTAGCAAAAGAGAAAAATAATAATAAATAACAATTTATTTCCCTTTAGCATTGGCTCCAACTTTTGAAATGAATCCTATGAAGAAAAAGACCCTGGCCGCTAAAGGAGGGAGGGTTCTAATCGAATGCAAACCTAAAGCGGCCCCTAAGCCAAAATTTTCGTGGAGTAAAGGGACCGAGTGGCTTGTCAACAGCAGCAGGTCAGTTCAGAGATCTAATTTCTAAAATCTAGAGTGCCAATTGCAATCCACTATTTGAGAAAGTTTATTTTATAGAGGACTTGTTTCATATTAATAATGTAAATGTTGTTTGTTGTAACTTTTCTTCCGTGGGAGACATCGTAGTTCTGAAATGAACAGAAATATTTACCCATCACTGTCAATATCTTTTATAATCAATGTTCAGTTTCTAAGCTTTTATAATTTATAAGGAGTTTAGAAATTTGAGGCTTAGAGATTTTGGGTGAATTGCCTAAAGGCACAGGAATAATGTACCATGGGGAATATAATAGGATTTCTAACCTATTTTTCCCCTAAGAAAGGCATATATATCTACTCACATTTGATTTAGTTTTATGCAGTTAGCCTATTCAAATTTTTTTCAGTAGGAAAACAAAAGGATGATTTCAAAGAACAAATCAATTCTTCCCATCTTCTTAAGTGAATATGAACTTCTCCCCTCACCCCAAATAGACCATCTACCATAGTTTTGATGGCTTTGGGACAAAACATTAAGCATGTGATTTGCATCTATTATTTATGTAAAAGCCACACTGAATGGTTTCTGTAGGTGTCCTAGAAGAAGTTATAGTTTGATTTCATACTAAGGTTTGGGGAGGAGAAAGTCTGGTTAGGGAACAGGAGAAATGGAATGGGAAGATGGGGAGCAGGAAATACTGCAGCAGTGAGAGCATGTGCGAAAGCAGGTGCAGAGGCCCTGGGGCGGACGGTGTGGGGTGTGCGGGAGCAGGTGCAGAGGCCCTGAGGTGGATGGTATGGGGGTTGCAAGAGTGGACGGTATGGGGTGTGCGGGAGCAGGTGCAGAGGCCCTGAGGTGGATGGTATGGGGGTTGCAAGAGTGGACGGTATGGGGTGTGTGGGAGCAGGTGCAGAGGCCCTGAGGCGGATGGTACGGGGTGTGCGAGAGCAGGTGCAGAGGCCCTGAGGTGGACGGTACGGGGTGTGCGAGAGCAGGTGTGGAGGCCCTGAGGCGGACGGTACCGGCTGTGCGAGAGTGGACGGTATGGGGTGTGCGAGAGCAGGTGCAGAGGCCCTGGGGCGGACGGTGTGGGGTGTGCGAGAGTGGACGGTACGGGGTATGCGAGAGCAGGTGCAGAGGCCCTGAGGCGGACGGTGTGGGGTGTGCGAGAGCAGGTGCAGAGGCCCTGGGGCGGACGGTACGGGGTGTGCGGGAGCACGTGCAGAGGCCCTGAGGCGGACGGTACCGGGTGTGCGAGAGCAGGTGCAGAGGCCCTGAGGCGGACGGTACTGGGTGTGCGAGAGCAGGTGCAGAGGCCCTGAGGCGGACAGTACGGGGTGTGCGAGACCAGGTGCACAGGCCCTGAGGCGGACGGTACGGGGTGTGCGAGGCATGCAAGAACTGAAATCAGTATGGCTTGTCTTTAGAGGAAACTGAAGTGTTTTAAGAGATGCAGTGCAGTGAGCCAGATCGTCAACAACAGCGTTTCTTGTGCTAAGGGACTTGGGCTTCATCCTCAAGTATCGGAAATCTGTCTGCAGGCTTAAATAAGGAAGAAAAAAGTAATTTTTGCCTTTTAGAAGGATTTTTCTAGCAAAAGTATATAAGAGCAGTCTTCACAGTAATCCAGTAAAGTAGGTAAGATGGGTATTATCATCTCTGTTTTTTTGTATCTAAGCCTGGAAAGGTTGCAGTGACCTTCAGGAATATATCAATAATCTCGAAGCTGAAACTTGAGCCTGTATCATACTGACATGGAATGAACACAAGCCCCACTTAGTTCTCCTATTAGGATGAGCACAAGTATGGCTGTGCGTGGAACAGAGATGGGATGAGAGGGAGACGGAATGTGCAGAGATAGCAGTTGCTCCCCGGGTACATTAACTTTTAAAATTAATATGTTTGACTCAGTTATTAAGACTTTAACCAAACGATGGTAGAAGCGTCAGTGTTAAAGGAAACATCCAGTTGTTCAATTGGCCGCTAAGACCTTGGGAATCAGACAGTGAGCAATGCAGAGGCCATAATCAAAGGACAGTCCCGTTCTTGGTACCTGTTCCCACAGTGTCTGGCATCGCGTCCTCCTTCGGCCCCTCCGCTAGCTCCCCCCTCAGTGAGACACTGCCGTGCTCTGATTCCGACGAGGACTAATGCCATGAACCTCTGCAACCAAGGATTTCTCCAAACCGGGTTCCGTGGACTTTGCTTTTCCTAAATGTCAACATGAGTTCAAAGAAAAAGAAAAGAAAGGTCTAGCTCCTAAATCTTACTATTTTAGTTCTGCCATGATATTTGTAAAGTCTTTGAATCAAATTATGTTACTCCTTCACAAAAGACTCTATAAGTCCAACTTTTGCTCCCTACTTTAATTCATTAATATCTCAGGCTTTAAGTACCACTTTCTAATAGATATAGCATAGTATTTCATGTGAAATTAAATTTGAATGTTGTAAAGTAGTATGTATAAAGAAAAGTTCAACTAATAAATTATTTTTAGAGAAATAAAATATTAATTGAATAATTATCTTTAAGCATAACTATAATCTCATTCTGACTAATATAATGACAATAAAATGGCTCTGCATTACAAAGTTATTTCCATACCTGGTTAATGGCTTTTAAAATGGTTTATGCAATGTTTTCAATCACTAGAGAGGAAACATAAATCTTAGATGAGTTTTAATTAAGTTCTCAATTGTATGGCTTTATTTTGGACTAAATGATAGCCAATTTCCACCAGAATTTCTCTATAGTTACTTGTATCCAAAGGATTTCTGTTAGCGTTAAAGTCATCTTAATCAGGTATGTAAGAGTATCTCCAAGATTCTTTTCTACCCCAGAGTTAGTGCACTTTAACAATTAACAAATAAGATGGAGGCTACCCTGGAGTATTTTTGGCAACAATAAGTCACTAATTCATTAAAGACCAGATAATTCCTAGCTTGTTTGACTGCTTATCCATATGTTGTCTGAAACTATGTGGGTATTTTCCATACATTAATGGGAAATTTAATATATTTCCATATATTTATGGGCATTTGATCTACATTGATATAAATAAGGAAGGTTCTTACCAAAAAATCAAGTTCCCTAGATATTGTTACTAAAAAGTAATTTTAATGTCATAAAGCACCTGAAAGCATAGGTAAGATAAATGCCACAAGAAAGTATACCCTTTAAAGAAGGTAAAGATCTACTGGGAACTAAGATATGTGAGAAAACTAAGAATATTAGTATGGATTCTAGAAAAAATAATTGTTGCTGCTGTTTTCATTGCAACTTGACTATAATTTCCATTGTTTCACTTGCAGAGTAGCTAAATGGGAACGGGGTGGAAAATAGGCTAAGCACTCACCCTAGAGCTCAGTGGGAAAGAAGTGGCCCAGTGGTGTTGGTACGATGTTAGCATGGATTCTACAGGGGGCAGATGCCAATACCGGATTAACCATGTAAGAGACTTATTAATGGCAATGCCTAGGAGGGAAAAGGGGGCACTGCTCGGAGGCTGGGACAGCTGTCTGACTGAGGTGCAGGTCTGAGTCCAGATGAAGGGGAGAGGGAAGGGAAAAAGTCTGGGTGGAAGTGACCTGGACTGCATGCAGGTCTAGGAGTGTATGGCAAGGCCACTGGAGGGTTCTCCAGCTGAAAATGCCCAGCAGAGCAGGCTGACGTCTTGCAGGAACAGGCCTGCCCTAGCAGTCCTCCTGGGCTCGGTCACTTGCTGAGAACAGCCTGTGCAAAGTACAGCCTTGGTTCAAACACAGTGATGGATTTCTGAGGGCGGCAGCTCGAGCTGCGGATCAGTGACACTCCCCACCTTCGAGGCACACTGCCCAGGGTTCCATGGCATCGAGTAGGTACTTTTATGGCTACATATATTATTTTGGTGCTGAATTTCTTCTCTGAGAAGCAAAAGGTGCTCTGGACGAACTGAAGTTGGATCTGGACAGTTAAAGAAGGGAAAAGAAATCCTGGAATATATTATTGGTGGAATATTTTCTTATGGAGCTTTCTACTGCTAAGGTGGATATATAGTATTTTTTCTTCATCAAGTTATGCCTTGAAATGGACTATATGGGGAATTGTTGGCATGCATTATATAAAGTTACAGAAATAAATTAAGGTTTTGGGAATGGCACATTTAAAGAAAGGAAGAATCCAGTGATAGGTAATTCAATATTGAATTTAAATGCAAGGTGCTATATAATAAAGCTATGTATTAAATATATTTAAAAGTTATATATAATGAGGTTTTGGTCTCTAGCCTCTAAGGAAGAGGCAGATAGGTAAAGGGAATAGATTTAGCTTTTGTTAATATGGAAGATTTAGATCATGTTCAAAGAATTCCCTAAATATTAATCTATTACAGAGGCTTTCACTAAGGGAGGCTTTAGAATATCACCTTTAAAAGTTCCTAAAAATAGAATATGTTTGTATTTCTCTGTAGCCATAGAAATGACAGTCTGTCCTAACTTCCACATCTGATTTTCAGTCCTGAGGTCACATTTCTGGAAGACCCAGGCTCATTTCTTTCAGGCCTGTGACTGGCTTAAGCCTGTCCCACAGCAGTTCACAAGTCATTCCATGGTGATATCCGGAAACCATCGGCTTCAGTTAAACTCCATGGAGCTCATTCATTTTTGAAAAAAGGGTTGATGACATTACTGAGCAGAAGAGTTACAGGATCTGAGGGTGTCACTTACGTCTTAATGTCTGGCTCTCATGTGGAACAGGCACTGTAGGGAGGCCAGGGTAGAAGCTAAGACTGGTCAGAGGCCGCTGCAGAGTCGGAGGAGGGGATGAAGGCCACTTCCTGAAATGACTCGTCCTGGCTGCCAAAGGATGTTCTAAACACAGGGTGGGGTGTTTCAGCCTAAAATATCTTTTTTCTGTCAAGTAATCTGCATAAATTGAAAGGTAGTACTTGTAATCTGAGACAAAGAATATTAAGGATTTCGTTACATAAATTCAGTGAAGGATGTATTTCTTCCCATAGAATCCTCGTTTGGGAAGATGGCAGCCTGGAGATCAGTAACATTACAAGGAGTGACGGAGGCGTCTACACGTGCTTCGCTGACAATAATAAAGGGAGGGCGAATAGCACTGGGACTCTGGTCATCACAGGTAAGAAGCCATTTGGGTAATATTGCTTTTTTTTTTGTTTTAGTCTGAGAGTGTTTAATTGCTAATATATGTAAGACACATGATTCAGCCCTAAGCCTGTAAGACAGTCCACGCATCGATGCATTTCCATCTCAGAAGTCTTCTGGGCATATCTCTTGCCTCATGAAATTGTTCCTAGAATTTGAATTTGAAAACTTATTCCTTTGCATAGAGAAATCAAAATGTGTTGATTTTTATTTTTAATGTATCATGTAATGCGATGATTCATGTTGTTTTAAATTATAAAGCTTTACTCCTTTATTTAAAAATGCACAGATCCCACGCGGATTATCCTGGCCCCAATCAATGCCGACATCACCGTGGGAGAAAATGCCACCATGCAGTGCGCTGCCTCGTTTGATCCCACCCTGGACCTCACGTTCATCTGGTCCTTCAATGGCTATGTGATCGATTTTAACAAAGAGAACACTCACTACCAGCGGAATTTCATGGTATGTGTTTTGTTCCATCTTTTTACCACCCAGTGACCCCTATGTGCGTGCACTGCAATTCCCTTCCTGTGATCCTTTATGTGAGACTGAGAAACAGGCAGAAAAGCTTTTTCTGGATCTCGTTATACTAATAGTATTACTGAGCTTTTCTCCTGCATCTTTCTAAAATTGTCTGGCCCTAAGGATTTAGGCAAAGATATTAGTCGATAAATATTCAGTGGGCGTTAAGTCCATTTTCCTCTTAACCATAACAGTGTTCTGTTGGTGTGTCACTCTCTGTTGGTGTGTGCTGGGCCTCATTGCCCCTCTAGGTTCTAGAACCCTCACATTCACTTGAAGTACGGTAAGCATAGAACTTACCTTTTGTTATAACCTGACTCTAAGATGCTTATTTTATTATTTGAGGCTAAGAAATAGACAAAATATGTACATAGGAGGGTTTGGAGAATTAGTCTGTATAATTTTAAAAAGGTTAAATGGCTGTATTTTTATTTAGAATAGAAAACATAAGTCATATAGGTCCTGTAACTAAGCATCATGATGTCATGTATAGAAATAAAGGAAATAGAGGAAAAAGACTGGGAAATAATGCAAGAATAACAACTTGCATGGGAACATCATGGTGCATTGATAGGACTGTCTGGTGTGTTCAAGAGGCAGACTGGTCCTGGCTCCTACCTTTCTGTTCTCCAGAAAGGCAGTCATTTAACAGGTAAAAACCTGTTTAGAACATGTGTTTAGTTAAAAAAAAACATTAATTTTAATTTTAGCAATCAATCATTAATATACAACTAAGAGTTTAACTCAGTAGAATATTTAAGATTTATAAAATCCTATGACATCTAGAGATTGATGAGTACCTACTATGTTGTTTTCAAATTGTCTAGCTCTTTTGAAAAATGGTCTTCTAGAACTTTCCACGTTACAAAGTCACTTTACAAAGCAAGTTTTCAGTCAGGTTGAACAGGAATGATTTTAACTAGATGTAAACATGTCTTAAGTGTTTGTTAGGTAGTTTCATAAAACAACTATTGATTCAGTGGCAAAGTTTATGCTTTCCACATGTTAACTGTAGTTCCAGTTCTTTTTTTAGATCTAGCAGATCTAGCTATAACGATAAATTTGCAATAAACCTGATGATTGTCTTCCAGTTTCTGAACCAAACTCACACTTAAAAAAAAAACTGGACATTGGCAGAAAACTATTTTAACATTGTGCCACATGATTATTTTTTCCTTATATCTCTGAAACTAGTTTGATGTGCATAATCATCAACATGTCCATCATTCATCAAAGTGACACCAATATTGTTAACGATTCATATCGTATTTTATTTTGCAAGAAAAGCAAATGCTTCTGACTTTTAAATCATTTTAAGAAAAAAAAGTGAGCCAAACAGAGATATTATTTTTAATAAAAGACTTCTGAATTTGCCTAGTTCCTTGGTGTTACAAATTGGATAATTTCAAATATATAGCAACCATAGTTTATATAGGTAATTACTTAATAACTTCAGTGAAGTCTGTATAAATAGATTTTTGGGTATCAATTTCCCTAAATTAAGCTGGGATTTCATATGTGTTACCTCTTTATGTTCTTTAAAATAGTAGTTACATTGTGTTCATTAATGTAAACGAACATTTAAAAAAATGATTAAGAAGATAAGAAGGGAGGGAAGGGAGGAAGGAAAGAAACCAGAGAGAGAAGGAGAGAGGGGAAAAGAAGAGAAAGAGAAAAGGAGCCCCAGAGCTTAAAAAAGAGGAAAATAAGGAAAAACTGGAATACTGATTAAGAATAGTGGATTGGATCATGAAGATGTAAAAGACTTTGGTCGTCATTTGCTGTCCTCCTTCCTCTTAGGGACAGCGGCCACAGGGGTCCGCGCAGTGGCCCCTCAGCTGATGCAGAGCAGAGCCTAGGTGCGGGTCCGTGCTCTGGCCCCTGCAGCTTGGGTGTCGGCCTCTGCCCATCAAACAGTCTCTATAATAAAGGATCACTGGTAGAAGACATACTGGCTAAACTTGCAAGTTCATTGACTAAAAATACCAAATGCATATTTTTTCGCACTTTGTAGATGGACAGGTGGATTCCATTCTCTAAATAGTTTAAAAATCCAGACGAATTTATTTTAAAATAAATTATTTAACTTAATTCTGTCTTTTGAACCTAAGAAAGACCTATAAAGCTTTGCCTTTCATCTTCACTCTCTTTTAAAGCAAACTTCAAAGTCAGACTTCATAGCTACATGGACAACACGAAATTTGAGCAGAAGCTCGATATGTGTTTGATCCACCTTTTGGCAGATAGTCCTAATGGCTAGTAATTGCTTTTGGGCTTGTGACTAGACCTCTCTCGGGAGGACTAGGCTCAGCTCTCCCTACCTACAGCTCAGTGAATGAAAGAATATGGGGGTTGCAGGTATCAGGGGGCAGCAACTGGAAAAGAAGGGTCATTCTGACTTCATTTGTCCGTTATTAAAATTGCAAGGTGGAGCATGTCAATATATAATTTTTTTGGTTTCTTAAATAATATGATATTTAATTCTGGCAACATTTCAATAATTGAATATAATTTTTCCATGACAAATATTGTCCTAAACACATACCACAAAGAGGGAAGAGCGATAGATACTGGCGTCAGCGAGACACTCAGTAAGACAGAACAGGCGCTGACCCAGAATCAATCAGGGATACCCCGTGAGTTTAAAAGTCAGGTGAAAATGTTTTGGTAGCTACCAGTTATCAAAACATATGGCATTATCATCTTCATGTTTTAGTAATTTAATTGCCATAAATTAATATCAGAGGCTCTAATTGATGGAAAAAGAATATAGAAATCAAAATTCAAATGTTTCGTTTCAAGAACTTAAGTTGGTATTTTCCATTTAGTTTCAGTAATACATTTTACTCACTAATCAAGGATGCTTTGATTTTAGCTTGCTGTTCTTGATTTTGGCCACCATGGGGCTACCTTGCATAAGGTTGCAAATTTCATAGCCTGTAGAGACTTGTTCTTTATGAACTTAAATACATTTTCCCATACTTCTGTGTCAGATGTGTGATTATAAGTGATCTTAAAATTTCTTCTTTATACTTTTTCCAATTATATTCATACAATTATCAGGGAAAAAGTAACTATACATTTTTGAAGATGTGCCTTTTTTTAAGGAATTTATAGTGAGCACCAGAAAAGCAAAAATAACATTGGCATTACATTTAATGATTCTGATTTACATAAAACTCTTTTGAATATATTATTTTAAAACCATAGCTATTAACTTTAAGGCTGTATGTAAACATTTAATAGTGATCATACAAAAACATTAAAAAGTTAAATATCAAATTTACCTGTCATGTCATTTATTCCTTAATTTACTCCATAAATATTCACTGACTGTTATATTATTATGTAATCATGGTCAGTAAATGTTTCATTTGAACTTGAGCTTATGTACAGGATGTTAAGAACATATGTATATATATATATATATGTAACAAATTTAATAAATTTGAAGCTTTAATACAATAAGCTGAGAAGGAGTTTTTCAGGCATCATTTGATTCTATCAAAGTTATGTGGCAAATACATAAATTTTTCAATACAACTATAAAATGGCTACTATTTTGACTTTTCCACTCAATAGCTGCTTACTTACTTAGAGTAAATTTAAGAGGCAGAGTCACTTTAGTTTGTAACCCTTCAGGTTCTGGAAAGGACTTGAGACTCTCTACCAAAAAATATACGTTTGTAATGCATCATTTCATGCCTTTCAATGGTGGTACCTGGTCTGCAGAAATTAATTTTCTTCATTAGCCACTTTGGACAACTGCTGTGAGTCATTCTCTTTTAACTATTTGACATTCTCCTTGTCTGGGCTGTTATCTTAGTTAACCACATACGTTTTTTAAACTCTCCAATTCTGGTTGTTGCCACTATAATTTTTTTCTTATTTTCTTATTTCAAATAAATATTGAAATTTTAATTCAGGAAAAAGTTATTGTGTATCTGCTTTGAATTCATAAATACCATATAAATTGTTCAGAGGTTCTGCCACGACCAGTCCTGGACTCTAGGCTCTATTTTTCCACTTTTTACTCTTGACTCTGAAACAGAAGTAATTACGCTACGCTAAGCTTTACGTTTCTCTCTCTGTAAAATTTTATTAGTAACTCACTTGCTTCATTCAGGTTACTTCCTTGGGTTTTACAAAACCAGTTATTTCATAGTATTTTTGTAAGGATTCAGTGAGAGAGTACCAATCAAGTGCTTGGCACAAGGTCTGGCTGATCATAAGTAGATATTAATACTCTTTATAATAGAGCAATTATTCCCCATTGGATATTCCAGAAGCTTTTGCCAGATAATTTTTTTCTGTTCACAGATCTCATTTTTTCATAATTTAATTCTTGCATTGCTGATGGCTAGTTTGAAACAAAAAAAATCCAAGTATTTCTTTGCTGAGGACAATGCAGAGCTAATAATAGTGAGCACTGGTGGAATGCTTACTGTTTGGCAAGAATTGGGTTCAATGGTGTTCATGTATTTCTCAGTTATCTTCACAGCTGTCCTCCAGAGAGCACATGTTACTGTGATGTTCCCAGTTTTTGAGGTGAGGAAACAGGGTTAGAAAGGTTAAGCAACTTGCCCAAACGGATCATATAACTTGCTGGTGGCAGAGGAAGGGTTTGAAACCAGTGTGGTTTGACTGCAGAATCCTGTGACCTTCACCACTTTAGTTTTTATTAATTTGAACTTTGTCCTTGTTTTCTTTTTTAATTACTGCTTTTTTATTGACATGTAACTATATGCAATATTACATTGTTTTCAGGTATAACTTAATGATTCAACATTTATATACTAAATGCTCCCTCCGATAAATGTAGTCATCATCTGTCTTCATGCAAAGATATTGCAGTGTTACTATGTTCTCTGTACTGTACTTTTATCCCCATGATTGATTTATTTTAATTGGAAGCTTTTATCTCTTTATCCCCTTCATCT